AGCATAAGTTAACAGTGACTAAGCGAGTTTTATTCCCTGACAGCGGCGATACTTGCAGATCCATATTCGATCAAGACTGGTATAGTGGCTCTCAGAGATGTATGAGATGGACTACAAAGACCAATGCTACCATACCCGGGAGAATTATCTCTCGGGTACAGTCTTACCGACTCCTAGCCGGGTTAATACTCGTCCCGACCCACCACCTGCTAACATACACTTCCTGTATATTTGAGGATCAATTTGCCCTGTAAAACCATGTTCCCCTCCCTTTTCTTCGCTCAACAGTTTATTGCAAATATCTGTTTTTATCTTACTGTGACATTTTGGCCTCATGGATTGAAGTTGAATCGAGAACGCACTTTCGGACCTAGGCCGATATGCACACTTACGTTTAATCAAACACTAGCGTTGGATGCGTAGCATTGAGGACATCAACGAGGTAGGAGTAAAAATTATGTCAAAAATCTACCCACTGGTTTTGATCACTATCTCTTCTGTTGTCCAGTCCAAATAGGCGAATAACTGGTTGCGAAAACTTGCGTTGCTGTTGAATCCTTTGTAGACAATGACATTTGCATGTATTAATAAACAATGCCAACGTGGTATATTCGTATCAACACAGTACGGCGACTGGCAGATACCAGAAGACACATCGGATATTGACAGCTGGACTGTCAAATGGTGATATTGCTCTTCCTTGTCTCGAACAAGGCCTGACAACTTTTGGTTTTGGTACAGGTGATGGGCAGGATGCATACGCGGTGCACATCCGACACAAACTATGTTGGATGACCTAACGATGAAATGCAAAATACCCTTCACGTTTACCCATATTGACGGCTGCGACTGCATCCTGCTAGCTCAATGCAGAATGATTTACTGTTATTCCGTCTCCTTCATCTTACTTAGCGGTAACAAGCCGGGTTTTCATGTACCCAACTTGTTTTGGCACTGGGCGGCCTTGTTAAGACCCCTTATCAATTTCTCGTGCCTTATCAATTCAGCTGTGTCTATCCTGATACCACCCAATTGAAACTTACTGCCGCGAAAAACCTGGCCATAGCATTTAAGATATGAAACTAGCATTCGGTGAGATGTTGAGCAATAAGCACCACATACTTGGAGTTAGACGGTTCCAGATTCAGTCTGTCATAGACCCAGCACTGTCACCCTCTGTTGGTCCTTAGCCTTTCAAGGCTATTTAAATGCTGGCTGAGCAACTTGACGATACTACTATACTTATTGGCCCATATGCTGCTTGTACACCCCTGAAGCGTTGAATAAGAGTTCTAAGTTTTAGGGCCTCACAGCCCCCTTCCGACTTTCATCACGGTTTACTCCCAGTCCGCATGCAAGAGCTGCTCAAGGACATGCTGCCGGAACCTATGACTCGTGTTCAACCAGTTGATATGGACCTCGAACAAGAACTAGTTTTGCTGTTGCAGTACACGAGGATGCCATAAACCGCTTCAGTAAATCATTTCAACTCTCTAACAGTCGGCTTCCGTTTCAGAAAGTGACGATATGACTGGAGCGCGAGTGATGTTTTACAGAAGCCCTCCATATAACTACTGAGCCCGAGATGGGTTCTAGTACGGTCGATGTAGATATACGTTTATGGCGTACACCACTCAAACCGTCGCAGCGTGAGGTTGTATATACTATCTGGGACGGCGAGACAGATACTGATGTATTGATTCATAACCCAGCCTGTTGCAAATAATCAGCAACGTCGGACACGTCAGCAACCACATACTAAACGTGGCTATTTTAGCAGCGTTCGATGTATTATTTCACCTGTATGAATATGTCAGTTTGGTGCAGAGGTCTAGGTTTGGTATAATGGCTTTCTTGGCAGTCGTTTCCATGTCAATGCTCTAATGGACAGCTTTGAAGGTTGTATCCATGAAGGGTTGTAGCCAGGCCCTAAAGTTATGTGCAACAAAGTCAAGTTTAACTTCCTTACATTTTCTGCCTACACTCGTGGTTTCCCACTCGAACTCTTTGCATAGGATCAATGTATTGTCACATCGCTACTACACGAAACAGATGGCACAGCTGAAGTGATCCTACTTTGTGGTTAAACTAAGACATTCGGAATGCGGTTGATGAGGGTAGCTCGCTAATCAGTGCGGAGTGTTCAAAGGTGTATTTTGTCACAGAACCCTATTGTCCATCCCGTTTCTACGGGTGAACATGGTGGTATTGATTGCATTGAACTTCTAGTTTGTACAGAACCATATTGCATGTAGTGTGCACTTGGTGTGGAGTTAGATCATGAAAAGAGGAAGGTGAACCCTGCATTTATTGCCAAGTAAAGACTTAATAACATCATATACCTTCTTGGAAATCTGTAGCGTCCACCCCCGCTTTCGAAGATCCAATGAAGGAAGCTTTCCTCGATGAAAGGCTGAGCTGCTTTAAGTCTACCGTATCCTTCCGACAGGAACCACTCGATCTGGACATCCAGGCTTCTGAGGCAGTACAGAAGAACTTTCACGATACGCGCAAAACACGCATTAACTGATTTGAACAGAACTGTTGGACCTATGTATTCGGTCGGTAAGAAAATAATATATGCTTCTAGGGCTCCCTCATCACATAAGCTTGCAAATTTAAAAGAGGAAAGGGTACATCTTAAAACTTTCGATGCTTACTGTGTTCCCATTGAGTGACCATAGGACCATCCCATGAGAACAATTGCCTCCTCGGCTTATAGATCGTGGTTTTGCTCGATCTCGCCTTTTAATGAGATTATTCGGGTATTTGGACCGGTGTTCCAACTATGCAATTTTTGAAGGACCGTAGCGGGCTTGACAGGCGTGGTCCGATTTTAGTTATCGCAAAGATCATACTCGCGGTAATAGTTTTTCAGTTTTCTTATACTGATGAGACTTTTATTTCAGTTGCATGATATCGGTACAGTGATTGTCAATATTAAGTAAGTGAAGGCTCTACAGTTTGGTATCCCTCGCTCTAGACTACGGACGATAAGCGCAAATCCTGTAAATTGGTACGAGACACTGCCAATTTCTTTTCCCGAACAGAGCGGCAATATTGAACTGCGCTATAGCTGCGCTATAGCTGCGCTATAGCTGCGCTGGAAATGCAGCCTGTTATTCATTCCAGTTTGGATTTACTGTCAATTCGATAAGAGTCCCTAATCAAGGCTGTGGGGCCATAGGCTGAAAAGTCACAGAATTTCTACGACCCATTGCAGTAGCGCCCAGTCTCTATATTACAGGACCTTGCACACTAGTAGTCGAGAGGGAACCTAGTGTACAGGCTATGTTCATTGTTTAGTGGTAAATATTTAAAGCGTACTACACATATGATCTGTATTGCGACCACTGTATAGTGGTAAATTTTTAAAGTGGAGTCCAGCAGGGCAAGTTTGAGCAAACACTGTGCCTAACAGGCTTATATTGGTTGGTCAGGCACTTTATCAATAAACGAGAGATGTAAACTGAACATTCGTAAATTTTACATTGCGTCTTTCGCATCTATGTGTTTGACTTGTTCTGCAGAAATGTACAAATATACTATTTGTTGATTTGATCAGATCAAGTCAAATGCAGAAAACATAATTTAACACGTAACTTAAACATCAGTTTTTATATCATTTTTATGGGTCAGCGGCCTATACCCTAGCTTTCATAGAGGTACCGAATACTCAATACTGTAAGCGCACGTGAAAGGTCGCAGTCTATCAGCTGCCCAATGATTACGCAGCAAGAGGCCTGGGAATCTGCTACCCAGGTCCATAGTATAGTAAATTAAGTATCACACGCCACATCTATGTGCGCCAGTGATTGCCTGAGAATATACAAGCGTCTGTGACAGACGATTTAGCTCCAATGTAACTTTGCGACTGTTTCAAAAATCTACCCACATATAGACACAGTGCGAGGGTCATACCCTGTAATGGTGTTCATAACGGAATAGCTGGCTTTCGCACACAGTCGTAAGTCTTTGTCACAATTAGGCCAAGACGTGAATTTGTAATAGCTATACTTGGGATGGTTACAGTGCAGAGAGCCTTGCGACTGGAATTGGGTGGCGAATTGTGAACTTTGTCACATTTTGTATTGATTGTGAGGCAGCTGCCGCTATCAGACAGATCGAAAGCATCTACGCTGATATCCACGCGCTGACTACACACACGACTTGATATAAATATGCCTATTATTTGGACGGAGATGGCTCCTTATAGCTTGTGGGAACCTTAGGCAGTAGACTAAATTTCTATGCACATCCTTTAAAGTATCGTACTTTTCTATAATATGTCTAAAAAGCTGTTCGCACATGTCAGTACATGGGTTTTAATAATACTGACTCGCATCCGACAATATATGAATTGTTATTGTTTGACAGCAGTGAAATACACACTTTTTCTCCAAGTAGTGATATTGTAGTAAGCTTCAACGCCAAAGGTTTGCTGTTTATTAATGAAAGATAAATATATCCAAACGTTCGAATCGACAAATACGTTATAGTAGTTTCATCGACCAGTTCTATGCCTAAAATATTCTGCCAATCACCGTGCATAACATTCTCAACCGGCATATTCCTAAATTGTAGTGCCGGATTCGCATTCGAGTTTGTTGTTGCTTTTTTAAAAGATCCGAGTGAGAAAGATTCAGATCATTTCAACGAACAAAGCTTTCTATTACTATCAATCAAAGAGGCCTACGAAATAAGTATCAAGTCTAGTAGTACAGTCTCAATGCAGAATTTGACTCTCTTCGCACTTCTCGGATCGTTTCTCCACTGACAGGGTACTTCGGGTGTGAAAGTACGTATAACGAAACGCCAAGTTGCCAACATATGTGGGACATTCTATCACTCATTTCTGGTTCAAATTGAAATTTGTTAAAATGCGCACGCGGTTTTCCTATATTAAAAAAAAGCTTCTTCATCCACTGCGTAACGGAATTGTGTTAGAATTATAGGACGGGTATGCAAAAAAAAAGAAAAAAAGTAGCCAATATTACTAAACCATCATTTTATTTCTGGAATTGAAATGAGACATCCACCAGTTTCTTAACACCGCACCCCAGCTTCATTCCTGATGTGCATCAGAATCCTGCATCACGTTTTTTCACGGTACCATTCGGAGTTATCTTGGCCTTCTACTTTCACATACTTTTCAATAGCCGTTATTAACAGCGCAACGCCCATTTCACCACTGGTCTCCTTAGGGGGTGTCCAATTCTTCAGTACATCCAATATGCACTCGATATGCGGGTACTGCTTATTATTACGAGCATGTACAATAATGTCTTGTATAAGGGTTTTTGTGTGGTCATACAATCTGAATTCATTCGTCCAGGACACCACGCGCTTGCAGAAACTGCGCAGAACTACAATGGAGCCACTCTCGATATAGTTCCTGAGGGTAGGATTTTGGTGCGGACGAAATGAGCTAATCGTACGATTACCCTTCATTATAACTTTCAGTAGTAAACGGTGAGCCATCCTTTATCACAGGCACACTTCATGAGAGTATATACTTATATGCGGGTATGTGATTGAACCGCCCCGGGATTTGTACAGAGAGCTTAACTGTTTCATTGACGAAGCCTTTGATTAATTAATTGACAGTTGTGTTGAAGAAATTGAAATTTTTATGGATATACATTGTTTGCAGACTCTAACTCGTACATTGGAGGACAGATCCACGAGCAACTTATCGCTCATAAACATCCTAATCCACATATACATCTGATTTATAATTGCCTAATTTACACAGATCCAGAGGCAACTCTGACAGTACTGACATAAACAAATGCGTGTGAATCTGATACATACTCGGATAGTATTCACTGTACCCCACAACGCTCATACCCCTTCTGCCTAGACAACACATTGAGCGAGCTAACTTCTCGTTGACATGCTGTAAATAGCAGTAGCACGCAGACAACATCATTCCATTCGACATACATTACAATCAAACTCCACACGCACATTTTCCCACATAGATGTTCGCATTTCACTTACGACGATAGCTTGCACAAAGTCAGGTAATCCTCATGGCCCTTCAGCTCAGAGTATCCATCGAGTGAGCTTAGGTACTCAGCGGAATCCTTGCTGAAGCTGCAACACGCATACAGATACGCTGTGTGCGCGTGGTTGTCGACCTCGATGCGGTGCAAGTTCATGGCATCTAGCACAGCTTTTATACGATAGTAGCCTGTACCCTCACCCTCCTCTATGATTCTTGGGACAAAGAACTCAAACTCACGTCGCGACATACTCCACAGGATATCTTCGTAAACAATCATCAGCTTCTTGAACGTGTTGTCCATGGAGATGATGGCGTATGTCAACATTTCATACATGTTGATCTCCCCAATGCGATCACAAATCTGCATCAGTGTTCGAAGTTTAACATACGAAGTTGCATATACAGGAGCGGGCAACTATAGTTGGCGTGTATGCTAGCAGTCCAGGACAAACACATACGCGGCTGGCAAGTACACATTCTTGAATGAATGGTTGATTGCAGCTCTAGGGCAGTTGCAAGCATAGAGTGAATAGCTTCCCTTCAAAGTTTTGCACTGCACACACACTACAGCTGCCAGATTCAACCGATCACAACAAATACATCAAGCAAGCGAACGGCACAACAACAGAATGCGCAAGAGTCCGTAGACAGCCAATAAACCCCAAACATACTCGTTGCAACAGCCCCAACGGAATTTTCTTATGTCTGTACGCAATGTCGGCCAGGATAGCTACTTTTGATTCCCGGTGCTCGTAGGCATACTTCAACAGAGCGGGCTTAAACCAATAGCTGTTCGACGTAGAGTGCAGTGGTGTAAAGCGCGAGTGCAAGTGCTGTGCATGGTAGCTGCGTAATGTACTTTCATCATAGAATATAGCGTTGAATTTGGGTTCGCACATAGTAATCAAATAGGATCAGTCATATGAAACAGTCAGCTTAATGCAGTTAATGTATAACATGATTCATATAAATACTAACACACACATACAAGCATAATATATATATATATATATATATGCCTGAAAGTAAATAAGTGTTTCGATAGCTTCTATATAGACTCGAGTCGCTCCATGTCTGACCATATAGCCCACAAAGATGTATAGAGAGGGAAAGCATGTCACACTATACACATGCCAACGTGGCAGACGCACGCCAGTTACATTATCTGTACAACAGGTTATATAAATAAATACACAACACGTATATGCGTAAATAATAGTTTGCTGTAAACGCCCAACAAATAGCTTGTCGTAAAAATACACAGTACAGCTGGACGTATGCGCATGTACAATAAGTATTTAATTCAAAGTTATATACAATACGTTCGTGATATTCAATATGATACATACAATATGTTATATCCAATATGCTACATACAATACGCACTATATACTATACCTGCACCAGGAAAAGCGGTCTCTTTCCAAGGCCAGCGTCCATAAATCATGCTTATGTGTAACACGGCGTATGTCCTTGCTGCTCTCAGTGAGTGCTCTGAGGGTATTGATATCACAGAACGACGCGATCAGAGGGAACAGCTCCAGTGGAATGATCATCATGTCATTCTTCAGATACCTGCACCAGCGGTTGTGTTGTGTTATGCACTGTTTGTGCTGTGTAGTGTGTGCGTACGTCTTCGGTTACATATATGTATGGTAAATATATGTTTTGAACTATTTTTGTCTGAAGAATCATCTAAAAAAAAATTCAATAGGTAAAATACCGAACTTTAGATTCTATCTTAAGAAAGCGCTCAATTTCTATAATATATATTGTCTTTTTTTTGGAAAAGTTTTTCCGCACACATAACTACTATTACTCATTTTTAAGAGCATTCACTCCAGAGTCTAGCCTCAGAGGAATGTCTTTATACGGCACTGGTGACAACAAAACTATTAACCACCTCAAGGCGTTTCCTACCAGTCTCACACTTTTTCGAGTTTAATTTGCTTTTAAGATGTAATTAGCGTGATTTTAGCCCATTTATTGCACTTGTATTAGTTCTTTGTCGGCCTCAGAGGAGAGGTCGACGTATGTTGGATACGAATAATGTCAACTGTAAAACCATGGGCGAATCCGAAGCAATAGTTAAGACAGAGGACGACTATATACATGTGTCTAACTGCTAACATATGTCAAGCCCTTATGACCGACAAGGACCTAAAATAAGTGCAACAAATGGGTTGTATCCGCGCTACAATATCTAATATTTAAGTCGAGGGCTTTCAGCCGACAGATAACAAACAAACCGGCAGAAAACAAACACATCTCACAAGTGCTTAAAATCACGCTAACTACATTAATACATATATTTAAGCAAATTAAACTCGAAAAAGTTCAATTATAAGACTGGTAGGAAACTGGGCCTGAGGTGGTTAATAATTTTACTGTCGCCAGTGCCGTATAAAGACATTCACTCAAAGTTATCTAACAGTTGTATTAAAAATGGGCTTGGAGCTCTCACTCCCAGACAGGCGAGTCACGGAGTCAGGCCTCAGTTCTGCTGCACTGGACTTGAGAGTTGAGACCTAAGACATGAGTAATGAGACCTATTTAAAAAAAAAAGGTGTCTAAAACAGTATCATAACCTCTGCTGCACTGCTGGAGTGTGGAGTGTGGACTCTACAGGAGTGTGGAGTTGAGGACTCTTGTGGACCACACACTGTACTGGACTGTTGACTTTGAGACTGAGTGTTGAACTGTTGACTCATGACTGTGGACTGTGGGACTCGTGGACTTCTTGTGGACTCCACACTGTACTGCTGGGCTGTGGAGTGTGGAGTGTTGACTCATGACTGTACGGTGGAGTTGTGGACTGTGGACAACTGGGCATATTTTATAGTGCAAGTAATTCGATTTTCATTGGCTTATCGTGCCTTTAAAGCCAAAACCACACTTTTTATTTATTTTGTTATTTAGATGATGTATAAATGAAGCAGTTGTACAATGTACATTGCTGAATAAAAGTAAATATGCGTTGCGGTGGAGTTAGGATTTATTATATTCGTGGCGTTGTTGTTGTTATTACAGAAGGAAAGAATCTTTGTCACAGAGCCGAACATTTCAGGATACATAGAGCGAGTGAACATTCCAGGCACCGAACTGCACGAGAATACTGCTAAGTAAGATACGAACAAAGTTAGGAACTTGGGTCAAAAGCTATCTGTTGAGTTTTCCGGTGATGATGCACAGCTTAGTCGCGTTTCTACACATTGTTGCCTCTGCACTTGTAGTGCTCGGTGTAGCAGTGGATGATAATATGAGTGATCGTGTTGCGGAAAATATTTCGGAACCAAGCACTGTAAATGCATGCGAGAACACAACAATCTATAAATTACCAGAAAACTATTCAGAGAGAGGTCCGTGGACGGTGGGTGCTAGGAATATCGAACTAGCAGGATATAATACTGAAGTATGGTATCCTGCTTTATGGGGTAGTGAAGCAGGCAAAGACAAGCATGTGTACGATATACGTCAGTGGATACCCGAAAATATGGCGGATGATATCCCAGATGACATTGTTGTAGAACAAGTGTGTGACTGCTACATAGGTTTACCTGTAGATTCCGAGCATGGCCCTTATCCTGTTATGGTATTCATACATGGAACGGCTGGATTCCGGACACAATCGCTCACTATCGTGAATCACTGGGCAAGTAGGGGGTTCATTGTTGTGGCAGCTGACCATCCAGGACTATACTTAGGATCACTGCTCAGTTTCCAACTTCAGCGGGATGTGCCAGGGGATGTAGATGCGATGATCAACGCGCTAAAAGCAAATGTATCTGATATTGCATTTCTTGAGGGTAAAATGGATCTAAGTAGGATCGCAGTATCAGGCCACAGTGCTGGCGGGTTCAGTCTAAATGATATGGGAGAGATCGAAGGTGTGCTTGTGCTCATCCCGATGGCGGCAGATGGCACCAACGGTACAGACTTTCCGGGATCCTCACTGATTCTTGGCGCGGTGGACGATGCCATCGTTGCATATGACAGACAAGCAGAAGGTTATGAAGTAACGCCGCCCAGTAAAAGGCTCGTGGGTATCGCGAATGCAGGCCATCTGGCGTTCTCTGATTTGTGTGTCATTGGTGCTGATGACGGCGGAATAGTGGAGATTGCGTTCAGCGTGGGATTGCCAATTCCAGATGTTTTGTTGAATCAGTTCGCCCGTCTAGGTACCGACGGATGTGACCCTGGCCAATTGGCACCCCAAAAGGGTTGGGATATCGTTAACTACGCTTCATCAGCTGTGATGGAGGAAGCGCTGATGTGCGATTTGAAGGCAGTGGAGGCTTTGAGGAACATAACCGATACTTTTGAGGATGTATCAGAGTATAGAGAAGACTTGATTATAGTTGATTTAGTAGATGGGAGTACACCGCAAGACGCGGCCACGACAGAAGATTTAATCGTATAGAGTACCAAGTTTTTAAATCGGATATCAAGTTTCACAGCACCGTTGAAAGTCCGTTCAGTGGCCACTTCAGCGACTACCGGCACAAAATCGATATACATGCCAAAGCGATGAAATGAAGCAGTGGTATAGCTCACGGTATTTGCCGCGACTCCTGGCCATTCTGTAAACAATAGTAGGTTTACCGGTTAAATAATGGCCGGTTTAATAATGGCTTTCAATTATGGCAGCTATAAGAGTGGTTACGGTCAGTAATGAGCTTGTGCCGGCAGGTGTCGGCCTAAAGAATTTCTTGGCAAGAAGAGCCCATCATCAAATGGTCAAACAGATGGCCAGGCATAATACTAGGGGAACATGTAGGCAGTTGTAGTTGTATAACGCCGAATGACAAGGCTGGTTACTATTAGGGAGTAAAGCCGTACACCTCACCACGAGCTACGGGAACAAGGAGCAAGGTGTCAAAACAACCGACACACACACACACACACACACACACACACATATATATATATATATATATTATATACATACATATGTATATATATATATATATATATATATATATATATATATATATATATATATA